ATTCAACTTCTGCACAGCTTCATGTAGGATGATGGTCCGCTCTGACCCATCATCGAGGATTGCATATGCCTCCATGGATTTGTTGCCATTTCGGAGCAGAACTTTAGCCACCTTCAGCAGAATTTTATTGTCACAGGTTGGACGATCCACATACAAGACTGCACTGGCTGGAACCGATTCTTCTGTGGCTCTGCTCTGGTCATTTACATCATGTAAGGCCAGCAAGTGCTTTCTGTTACAAGATGGACAGAGGGCTTTCAGTGTGCAATTGGCAGCATGATGACCACGCCCACAGCGCCAGCATCTATTTTGGCCTTTAATCCAATTCACCTTCTGCTCTTTGTTGAGTAACTTAAGGTTCTCACAGCCGCTCAGGAAATGTCTGTTGTTGTCGCAGTATGGACAGTAAACATTCACCCCTTCTCTCTTAGCAGCAATTGGTTTGGGTGGATAAACTGGTGATGCTGGGCTGGCCTTCGGTTTCTCTGTACCAAGGAGGATAGTAGTGGGTTTGCGGGGCTGTCTAGAGTCTCTCCTCAGCTCCCTCCTCGGCACTGTCGAAACTCTAGACTGACTGGTATAGTCAGTGTGGTCATCCTGAACTTGTACCTCGTACTCAAGCCAGTCCGCAAAGTCCAATAATGTGGGAATAGTGACATGAAGAGGATGATTGTACCTCTTGAAACTGGACCTGAGATCATGTGGCAGTTTGCTCATCAGTCTCGACACATGTGATCCACACTCCAACTCGACATTGCCTTTCTGACCCAGCTGTTCCAACATACTGACCAGGGAACGCACTTGGAGTCCGAACATGCGAAAAGTTTTCACATCTCCACTTCGAATGTTTGGTCCATCCATCAATTCTGCAATGTGTTGTAAGGCTAGCTGATGTGGCTGGCCATACATTTTATTAAGGGCTCTCATGGTGTTTGTGAAAGGAAAGTTTGAGTTACTGTATGAGTCTGCCACAAGTAGGGCTTCCTCCAACTTAAGATGGTCAGTGAGGATCTGATACTTGAATCGCTCTGTTGCATCCTCAGGCAAAATGTTCTCCAATGCTATTCTCAGTCGAGAAAACTCCCTAGGATCAGGGGATGTTAGGAAGGGAATGGTTGGAGCAGGGCCTCGGTACATTTTCTCCTGTATTGATGAAGGCTGATAAAACGCTTGTCTGTGGCCTGGATGCGGAGGTGGCATACTGTTATATGCTGTGGTCTCGAACTCTGACTGATAAGCTGGAATGTGTTGGGAGGAACAAGAGTACCTGGGTTGAGGTGGGTCGCTGTAACGCACTTGTGGTGGTACTCTATCAGGTATTGAGGAGGAAATGTCCATGTTTATTAAATCCTCAGCTAATCCAAGGCGCTCATCTATTGTAGCTGGGCACAGCTCCCTCATGGCCGTAGGCGGCGTTGGGGGGGTTTTCCGTGGGGCTGGAGTAGGACGGAACCGTTGTGGAGTCTCAGGGCTCACCACAGGAGAAAAGGGACCTGGAGATAGCACTGGTAAAGTCACTGGCCTGGAGGGGGCTTCTGCCTTAAGACTTTGAAGTTCGTGATGTAACATGGCATTCTGTTGTCGCATCTCCTGTAATGCTGAAATAATCTCTGGAAGCTGGCTGGTTTGTAGCCGCAAGTCAGCGTTCTCGCGTTTCATCACCTGCAGCATGGCTGTAAGCTCTACTTCCTCTTCTCCTCGCCCATCGGATCTTTCACTTTGCCATTCATCTCTCAGTGTCCACGTATCCTGATCTAACTCTTGACTGACGGGAGAAGACGATCAGGTCTGTGCTACCATACTTGGTGACTGGACTCTGCTATGGCTGAAGTCTGGGAATGGCTGTCGATGTGGCAATGGCTCACCAAGCTCATAATCCACTAAATGAGTCGGTGGGTTGATCTGTCTTCGTGGACGCACGACAGGCGCTTCTCTCTTGGGTTGAGACATCTCTGTAGCAATTCACCAATCCGGCTCGAAGGACCATGAAAAATCTTGTGAGTATTCACTCTAATTGCTAGTTCAGGTTTGGCTGAAGGCTGCAGTTTGTCCAGTCAGAACAATGATGTCTCACTCAGGTTATATTCCAAGTCGTAGGTTTATTAAATGTGCATAGATGTGTGGTTAGTGTGATGCACGCACACGTACAATCGATAAAACTCCTCCGATTTGGGCTAGTACCCTATATTTCACTCTACAACTATATACAATATTCAGCCGATCTGCTTTTCCCTTTATTATCCGTCTACTCTTTTCCCCTTCACTTCGCGAACTCCGGTGGAAAGTTTGGAACAGTCCATTTCTCGCTGAATGACAGGGGTGACTGGGAGAGTCCATGTGTCACGGTCCACACACGGGAAAACAAGGGTAAGTTCCAAAAGCAGTAGTTTTATTAAGGATAATCCAAAATCGTAAACCAGTCCAAAGCAAGGGTCAAAATCCAAAAGGCAATCCAACATGAACAGGAACAAAACAAGAAACAAGGAAACTGGATAACAGAAGTAGCGTGATGCATACAAGGACTCCGTAACTCATACTAAAACAGACAGGGTATATATACACAGGGAAATGACAATGCTAATGGGGAACAGGCTGAGTGCAATGATCAATGATAAGAGACAGCTGAGTGCAATGAAAAGACAAGGATCATGGGGAATGTAGTTCAAGAGTGTGATGGACACCGTGGGGAAGGAGGACATCTAGTGGTGACCCAAGGAACATAAACCAGACACTGTGACATAACCCCCCCTCTACGGAGCGGCTACCAGACGCTCCAAGACGTGACAGACAAACAAGTGTCCAGGCGGGAGGTGGACTGGTGGAGGATCAGGGGGAGGGATGGGGGGCCAGGTCCATGGAGGGAAACGGGGACAGGGAGTGACAGTTCATCTGGCGGCCAGGGCCGAGACGACAGTCCCTCGGGCGGCCAGGGCGGAGACGACAGTCCCTCGGGCGGCCAGGGCGGAGACTTTCCCTCGGGCGGCCAGGGCGGAGACTTTCCCTCGGGCGGCCAGGGCGGAGACTTTCCCTCGGGCGGCCAGGGCGGAGACTTTCCCTCGGGCGGCCAGGGCGGAGACTTTCCCTCGGGCGGCCAGGGCGGAGACTTTCCCTCGGGCGGCCAGGGCGGAGACTCTCCCTCGGGCGGCCAGGGCGGAGACTCTCCCTCGGGCGGCCAGGGCGGAGACTCTCCCTCGGGCGGCCAGGGCGGAGACTTTCCCTCGGGCGGCCAGGGCGGAGACTTTCCCTCGGGCGGCCAGGGCGGAGACTCTCCCTCGGGCGGCCAGGGCGGAGACTCTCCCTCGGGCGGCCAGGGCGGAGACTCTCCCTCGGGCGGCCAGGGCGGTGAAGACCCTTCAGGCGGCCACGGCGGTGAAGACCCCAGGGCGTTGAAGACCCCAGGGCGGTGAAGACCCCAGGGCGGTGAAGACCCCTCGGGCGGTGAAGACCCCTCGGGCGGTGAAGACCCCTCGGGCGGCCAGGGCAGTAGCTCAGGCGCAGGAACAGCAGACGCCGGCTCAGGAACAGCAGACACCGGCTCAGGAACAGCAGACACCGGCTCAGGAACAGTCACAAGAACTCTAACAGTCACAAGAACAGACAAAAACACAGAAACAAACACTGGCTCTGGCGCTGGAACAGGCACTGGCTCTGGAACAGACATTGGCTCCGGCTCTGGAACAGACATTGGCTCCAGCTCTGGAACGGGCACTGGCTCTGGAACGGGCACTGGCTCTGCCTCCGGCTCTGGAACGGGCACTGGCTCTGCCTCCGGCTCTGGAACGGGCACTGGCTCTGCCTCCGGCTCTGGAACGGGCACTGGCTCTGCCTCCGGCTCTGGAACAGCAGACACTGGCTCCGGCTCTGGAACAGCAGTCACTGGCTCCGGCTCTGGAACAGCAGACACTGGCTCCGGCTCTGGAACAGCAGACACTGGCTCCGGCTCTGGAACAGCAGACACTGGCTCCGGCTCTGGAACAGCAGACACTGGCTCCGGCGCTGCAACAGGCGAGACAGGCACGTCCAGGATTCGAGCTAACCGCTCCAAATAGTCACTTAGTATGCCCCCGATTGAGAGAATGGGTGTATCCAGATCCGTTTCTGACTGGTCAGACGGGACGTAAACAGTCACTGGCTGGGCAGACGGGACTCGAACAGTCTCTGGCTGGGCAGAAGGGACTCGAACAGTCTCTGGCTGGGCAGACGGAACTCGAACAGTCTCTGGCTGGGCAGACGGGACTCCAACAGTCTCTGGCTGGGCCGACGGGACTCGAACAGTCTCTGGCTGGGCAGACGGGACTCGAACAGTCTCTGGCTGGGCAGACGGGACTCGAACAGTCTCTGGCTGGGCAGACGTGACGTGAACGGTCTCTGGCTGGGCAGACGTGACGTGAACGGTCTCTGGCTGGGCAGAGGTGACGTGAACGGTCTCTGGCTGGGCAGACGTGACGTGAACGGTCTCTGGCTGGGCAGACGTGACGTGAACGGTCTCTGGCTGGGCAGACGTGACGTGAACGGTCTCTGGCTGGGCAGACGTGACGTGAACGGTCTCTGGCTGGGCAGACGTGACGTTAACGGTCTCTGGCTGGGCAGACGTGACGTTAACGGTCTCTGGCTGGGCAGACGTGACGTGAAGCGCAAGCTCGGTGTGGCTGACGTGAACAGTCTCTGGTACGGTCTCCGGGCACTTGAGGAGGCTGGAGGTCTTACCCCTCCTCCGCCGTCTCTGACGGTGATGTGCTGATTCCGTGCTGGATGAGATCAACGGCAGATGGAGTTCTGGACTGGACATCACCAGCCCAGGGTCGAGGAGTGATCGAAGCGGAGAGTGATTCCGGGATTCACCTCTGGCACCTCCTCTCCTGCGACCTCCGCGGGTCCCCGAAAACCTGGCCAGACGAGTTCCCTCGAATGATTCCCTTCTCTCGAAGGAAGGGATCTTAGGTAACTTTCTCACCGCGGTCTCTTCCGTGATACGAGCCCACAGAGCGAAACATTCGAAAATGTTCATACACGGTGGCACTTCTCCAGATTGTGACCTCTCCCCTACGGTGGCTGGGGAAGAGGACCAGAACCCCCTACTGCTGGAACTATTCATGACGGAGTCCTTCTGTCACGATCCACACACGGGAAAACAAGGGTAAGTTCCAAAAGCAGTAGTTTTATTAAGGATAATCCAAAATCGTAAACCAGTCCAAAGCAAGGGTCAAAATCCAAAAGGCAATCCAACATGAACAGGAACAAAACAAGAAACAAGGAAACTGGATAACAGAAGTAGCGTGATGCATACAAGGACTCCGTAACACATACTAAAACAGACAGGGTATATATACACAGGGAAATGACAATGCTAATGGGGAACAGGCTGAGTGCAATGATCAATGATAAGAGACAGCTGAGTGCAATGAAAAGACAAGGATCATGGCGAATGTAGTTCAAGAGTGTGATGGACACCGTGGGGAAGGAGGACATCTAGTGGTGACCCAAGGAACATAAACCAGACACTGTGACACCATGTGCCAAAGGGGAGCACTTTCTACAGACTTTTTTAATCGTTATTTCAGAAGCAACTTTTATATTTGAAATGTAATTGGAATCGAGAATGTTGTGAATGTTTCTTCCTCATGGGTTTGGTACTGGATAACATCTCTTTTAACCTTCAACAATTAATCATGTTCATGCTAATTATGGATATATTTATATTTATATATATATATATATATATATATATATATATATATATATATATATATATATATATATATATATATATATATATATTTGTATTGCTCATACTATGATGATTTAAACAAACTTCTAAGTATAAACTTGGGTATGTCAATTGTTCCGGCACCATTTTGCTACAGACATGAATGATATATCAAAATGTGTGGACAAATGCAAAAAGAATTAAAACATGGCATTGCAAAAATAAATTATTACATTTCGACATTGTATATGTGATATTATCAATATAAATGAATGGAGGATTGTGTCTGTTTTCTGCAGGTCGCTCATGTAGCAGACAAACTGGCATCTTTGTGCTTCTAGGAACAGTTTGCATGATTATTTTCCTCATCATGACTTCTGTCATCTGTGAGTGGATTAAAGGAGATACTGTATTTAGTGTATTGCTGCTAGACTGATTTAATTGTGCAGTGTTGTGGATATGGACTGCAACATCTTTGTGTTTTTAGTGTGACAAATAATGTGAACATGGACTTTTTTAGTTTAAGATCAAAATTTACTAAACAGCTAAATGTGATATGAACTGAACTGCTTGGCTCTGAGCTTTAATAAACTATTTGAATTAGTATATGAATATATCAAATATTTGCAGAGAAGCTGAAGAAGTGTGTCTGTTTATTTTGTTTTGAAGTTTCGCATCAAGAAAGAAAGTTCTCAATGCTGGAGAGTTGGATGAGCAGCCATTCTTCTAATAAAACCTCATTCAAATTTGATTATCAGATCACAGGTGAGAACTTCATCATCATCATCATCATCATCATCACAGATCAGTTTTGGTAATGGAATGTTAATTAATAATTGTTTTTGTCAGGTAATGACCTAGAAAAGAAGGTTTCTGAGCAGGGATGGAAATCAGCACCCGCCACCAGCCAAATGCGGGTGATTTTGTGTTGTGGCGGGTAAACTCGCTTCACCTACCGGCGGGTAAATAAAAATAGCATACTGTTTCACCCGGACGGCGGACACTTTCAGAGGAGGCACACCTTCCAAAAAAAATGTGGCGTTACATCGCAGGCGTAGAGGTCTGCAGAGAAAACATCATGGTGCGTTCACACCAGACGCGAATAGAGCGTCTGGCGTGAGTGATTCCAATGTTTACCAAATTCTGCGTTTTCTGCTTTAAGATTTCTGGATTCCATTTTAATGGTTTAATTAAATTTTAATAATCAAAAAGCATGTATAATTAATTAAATTCATAAAAACAAATTATTAATAAAAAAACAAATCATTTCTATGTTTTTTCAGAAATTTCCTGGCAATCAAAAGAAGGCATAAAACATTAATTTTATGTATATTTTAATAATATGAAATAAAAAAATTGTCAAACAAAGTGCTGAACAACATGAAAGATATTTTTTTTATTTTTCCTTAAAAATTGTTTTAATAATAATTTATTATTATTATTAGTGTTATTATTATTAATACATTGAGACGTAGCTAAATTCTACTGTACTGTTGGACAGGTTGCTATGAAGACTTGAGTTTCTGTGTGTTTATGATATGATGATAGTTTTTCTCAAATGAAGTAAAATGCTGATGAAGTGACTCAGAGTGACTCTGGAGCTGAAGTTCATGCATTCATGTCCTCATATGAGGCGGCAGAGGGTGAAAACACCGCGAGAATCACGACAAACTCCATGAAATACAGCATTATACAGTAAATTATGTTTTTATGGGTTCCGCGATTCCCTCAGCGTTTTCCACATTGTGGAAATCATCGGGCCCTACAACAGGTGCCATCAAAATGACAACATTTGAAATTCTTTCTAGTTCAGTACTTTGAATAGTTGGATTAAACTGTGTAAAGACAGCGAAAGCAAACCCTTTAAAATCCTCTATTGTTTTTTTGTGTTTAATTACCATTTAAATTCAAATAAAAATATTGTAGTTATCTGCTTTTCTGTTGTCCTGTTCTTGAGGGCCCGATCTCAGGAAACCTAAATCTCTGTTGGAGGGATACTATGATATTTCTCCAGTATTCAGATTAGAGGTTTAGTACAGGAGGGGAAGGGAAATAAGGGGTAAAAAAGAAATATATTGTGTCTACTCTGATATGTTAATTGTATGATCGCAATATGAATAATGTCACAATAAAAAAAAAAAACAGATTAGAGGTTTAGAAATATGAATATTACGACCCAAACTCAGATTTATTGTTTTAGTGAAACTATGATTGCAGCGAGGTGCCAGAGCATTAACCACATACAGTATGTAGGCTACATATTAAAGGTGAACTAAGTAACTTTTTTACCTTAACCGAACAGCTTTGGAGTCATTGTAATGTTTATATTACTGATTTCGTGTTGAATGGTGGTCATCTCACACCCCCCTGGTGCCTGTGAGCCGCAAAACCACCCTTGCAACTTTGGGCCGGCGAGCCGAAAGCAACGAATTGCTTTACGGCAAAAAAACAGATCTGATGAAATGAGCATCAAACAGAAATAACCCGGCGCCGTATACATGTGGTGTTGGGCGCGCGCAGCTCTTAAAGGGGCCATACCTTATTTTCACTCGTTACAGCGTCCATCCTACTGAACAGGTACCGGTGTACAGGGGGAGGGGATCCGGCTGGAGCCATCTCTGCGTGAGTGCTATTCACGACAGTACAAGTACTCCACAGCTACTCTAGGGGTCGCTGTTTGACAAAAACGGAATTCTTACTGAGTGCTGCTTTAAATCAAATATTACATCCATAGAATTATACATTATAAACAATAAAATGGTCCAAAACACACATTAAACTACCAGACTCTATTCTTAATTCATAAAGTAAATGTACATTCCTGTAGAGATATTAGGACATTAATGCCACTAGTTTCTGATAAATCTCTTTGTGGGAATGTTATTTTAATATCATTACTATATACATATAGTATTTATAAATATTTTTGTATAAATATTTATATATTTTCCCTCCGTTTTAATTTTAGTTTGTGTTATTAATTTTGTTGTATTTTTGTCAGTTTTAAAAATATATATATTTAGATACTTAGTTTAGATACTTTAAATTGTATATATTTATATACTTAAATTTGAAATGTTGTCTTTGCTATTAACTGAAATATTTATACAAAGGCTTACGGAAGTTTTAGTTGGTCAAATTCATGATGTCAAACCTTTAAAACTTTTATTAAACCTTTATACTGTTCAAAGATAAAATATTTTGCAAAACTAGGCCAAGTTGTCAATAAGTTTAAGTTCATAGGTGTTTTGTCATACTGCTATATACCCTGAAGATTAATGTGCATTCATGAAAATTTCCAACTAATTTCTGACACACTAAACAGAGTTTAATATTATTGAGTAGAGATTAGAAAATACAGTCATGAACATTATGAATACAGAACATTATAATATTCGACAGCAAATGATGGAAGCCGTTCAGGTGTAGGAGGCAGTTTAAAGTTTCATTCATAAGCATAAGCTAAAAAGTGTCGTGTAAATGGTATAGGCCTATTAATATTTCTCATCATGTCTATGGACAGTGATCGCAGTGTTTGGCTTCTAAAGATTTAAATGATTTTTAATTAATCCATCAATAGCAAGAGGCAAAACAAATGATTCAAAGGAGATGTAACCTGTAACACGTCTCTATTTCTGATAATCCCAGACTGCTATTACACTGATTTTATCTTTCACATGAGCGATGCAATTTTTAGTTTTATTTTCGTTTTTGCGTTTGAAGCTCCTGAAACGGAGGATGAAGAAGATATTTACCTTCAATCAGTGGAAACGAATCACCCTGAAAGTGTTTTTGTGTTTTAAACGTCTTTGACGGCCGTGCCCTCCTAAAACTAGCCAGACCAGATCAAACTGGTTTTGGATCGAATGCATGGGGTGACATTCTCAAACGCTTAAGTGGCTTAATGACCAGTCAAAATTAATTTCTCATGTCAAAAACACTATCTACTGCTAAGACAATGGCATCGTAATCCAAGTGCAAAGACTATTTTTTTCACGTTACATTCCTAAAAATAAAAATGACAAAACGTCGTTTTGGCAGCGATACCATATAGAAGAACCATTTGTTTCCTCCGTGTAAAGAACTTTTTAAAAATCTAAAGAACCTTTTTCCACTATTAAGAACCTATTGTGGAATGGAAACATTCCATAATGTTAAAAGTTCTTCATGGAACCATCGATGCCAATAAAAAAACGTTATGTTTAAAGAGTGTATGCGATTTCTCCCCCATAGAAAGCCATTAAAAGAAAATGCTTAACGTGCCTTAATATATTAAGACAGTGATGATATTAAAAGATCAAATTCATACACCTTATTGATAATGCATGAAGGCAAGCAGATTAGCCCAGTATGAAGGCAATGCGCTAAATTTCACATTAAGCGCTTTATTTATAATGGTTTTACATGGGAAAAGGCTTAGCGTGAAACTTTGCACGTTGCCTTGATATTTTGGGTTTATCTGCTTGCCTGTACATACATGTTTTATTAATAAGTTCTAAATCAATTCAAAAACATGGTCAATGCATTAAGCGGCATTTTCTTTATAATGGTTTTCTATGGGAAACTCTTAACATTCAATTTAGCGAGTGTGTTTATATTCTAGGCATATCTGCTTAATATGTATGCATCATATTATATGTACACTGTAAAAAATAAAATCATAAAAAAACGGTCAATGACTGGCAGCTATGGCTGCCAAACAAAAACCGTAAAAATTAAGTAAAATATCCTAATTTAAATTGAGTGCAAAAAACTTTTCCAAACTTTGTCCTTAAATGTTTTACAGAAAAACACTGTTATTTTACAGTTATTTCCTAAATTGTTATGATCAAACACCTTCACTGTGAAAAAAAGGTCAAATGACTGTCAGCAATGGCTGCCATACAGAAACCATAAAATGAATGTAAAATATCCTAATTTAAATAATAAATACTATTGCAGAATTCTTCATTAAGCTTTTTAACAGAAACACAGTTATTTCACATATATATATATATATATTTACTGATTTTTTACTAAAAAACATATTCACTGTAAAAAGTAAATATCTTGCTATAAACTACATGCATGATTTACTGTGATTATACGTCATCAGCAACTACATAGTGTCGGTTAAATAAAGCAACACACAGCATTTCATCAGTGTTACTCTGCTCATCCTGGACTGAATCACAGGCTCTACTCTTCAACACAATGGTGACACACAAAACACACCATACAGAAACACTTTACATCCCAACAGAACATTAAACACTAACAGATCTGTCAAAATCTCAGCATCTTCACTTATTACAATCCTTCTTTCATACTAACATTCTTATTGAGAAATAACAGAGGTTTAGAAGTTGATATTTTATTGAAAATAATAAAGTTTGATGTCACCGTGATAGAGGTCAGTGTTGGCTTTAGTTGGGCTCTTGACCCTTCAGTTATTAACATTAGCTTTTCTCTTAACTGTGCATGTCTTTGATGCATATTTGTTATTGTAGGAAATCGAGAGAAACTCAGATCAGATGATGTTGGTCACTTAATAGTGATAATATTCATCAAGCAGTTGTCTGCTGTATTGATACCACCTGATTGGTATGACTTTTTAATGACTGATTAAGTTGTAAAATGTTAATTGTTAATTTTGAATGGCAGTATTGCTATAGAATATCCTACAATGCTGTTATATAAGATTTTATGAAGTCATTATGCAAACAATGTTTTGACAGGATCATACAGACTCACTCAGACATCAAGAATTAGCGTATGAATCTCAACAATGGTGACAATAAAAAACAATTCTGACCTATTGTAAAGTCACAAAAAGGCTTTGTTGATTGTCACCATTGTAGAGATTCATATGTTGATTCTTGATGTCTCTATACTCCTAACAAAATACACCAACTCAAAAAAATTATGTAGAATATATATATATATTTTTTTTTAGAGATTGCAATAATACTGATCCCACAATATTTCAACAAATCATGTGTAAAAAGTATGACAATAATTGCCTTTGTATAAAACTAAAGTCTATTTACATATAATGTATTCACAGCTAATAGAGATTTGACTGTCATATCAATGAATCAGATCATCATATGATGACTATAAAATCATCAATAAATGACCAAGATCATCTTATATTTTCTCTTGCAAATATTGCCATAATAAATGTGCATCAAAACACAGTTAAGGCAGCCAGAGAAAAAGTAATGTTGAAACTCAAGAGTCATGAGCCCTACTAAAGCAAACACTGATCTCAATCATGGTGACATCACATTTCTATTAAAGTTTTTTACACTTTATTTAAATTAGGATATTTTACTTTAATTATATGGTTTTTGTTTGGCAGCCTTAGCTGCCAGTCATTTGACCCTTTTTTTACGATTTTTTTACAATGAAGGTATATGATCATGATAATGCAGGAAATACCTGTGAAATAACAGTGTTTTTTTGTTTTATTTGAATTATAAGATTTTACTTTCATTTTATGGTTTTTGTTTGGCAGCCGTAGCTGCCAGTCATTTGACCCTTTTTTACGATTTTTTTACAATGAAGGTATATGATCATAATAATGCAGGAAATACCTGTGAAATAACAGTGTTTTTTTGTTTTATTTGAATTATAAGATTTTACTTCAATTTTATGGTTTTTGTTTGGCAGCCGTAGCTGCCAGTCATTTGACCCTCTTTTTACGATTTTTTTTTCACTGAAGGTATATGATTGTTATTTTACAGGTATATCCTGAATTATCACAGTGTTTTTCAGTTTATTTAATTTAGGATTTTTTACTTTAATGTTACAGTTTTTGGGGGGCTGCCAGTCATTTGACCGTTTTATCATTTAACTGTTTTGTTACTGTTTAATTACAGATTATATTTGTAATTTTACATACATTTTTATGTAATTTAAGAAAACAGAAAAAATACTGTATGAAAAATACAATCAATTTCCTGTATAAAAAATGTGAATTACTGCAATTTGTCATTAATGTCACAATACCTAAAATAACAGCTGAATTTTTATTTTACAGATATTATTTGTAATTTTACAGTGTTTTGAGTACAATTTAAAATGAAAGAAAATGATCGTCAAAAAATCACAGTTATTTTCTGTAAAATTAGGATTTTTTTTTACAGTGTATGAATTACTTTCTAGAATATCTAGAATTCTATAATATAAGAAAAAGCATTGCCACCCCATCTGCAAACTCAGCATTTTGGGACTATCCCAGTGTAAAAAATAATGTTAATGTTTGTTAAAGAAAAAAATCATACATTAAATAAATATCGCAACATTATTAATTTAAAATATGCACGCATCCTTATGCAAAAAATGTCACATGTTTTACTGGTAATGTGTCTGAATCCTTTCCCATTTCCTGTTCAATCAGATCAACCTGTTGCCTGCCACAAAAAAACTAAAATAAAAGGTGAGGTTGCATAATTAAATGATTGTATAATTTATCATTCACTACCTCACCCTTATGATTATGTCTGGACTTGCAGTGTATTTTCAGAGTCATAAAGAGCATCTTCTGTCCTCATGTCAAGATAACCGCTGCTGTGTTGATACAGTGTTGTTGGGGAAGACTCGGATTTACAGGAATAGTAAGTATATATTTTAAAGCTTAAATTAAATAATGTCTTTTGAACGATAGAAAGGCAATTAACATGTTTCATGACATTATAAATGACGTGATAATTGTAGTATGAACGAATCCAGCATTTATAATCTGCTCTTAAACCATTTCAAACATGGTCAATAGCAGTGACTTGCACACTATCAAAACTGCATATACAATTATGGTGAAAAATTATTTGAGGTATTCCTATTTCAGTGGTAAAGTTTTCCATTTTTTATGCATCACAATCTGTATAATGTTAAATGTAGGCTACTATAAATAAGAGTACGTTAAGTTGAAAGGAAAGGCAGCAACTTTTGTTTACAGTGCTGCTATTCTGATCCAAAGATTTTATTTATTTATTTATCTGACTTATTTATTTTTATTAGAGTAAAAACTATGAGGATTTAAGTTACTACTTTTTGTTGATTGCGTTGAAAGAAAAGAAGCAATACCGGTAACTGTGTTTAATTAAGTGAATTAAGCGACTTCACCAAAGTGCTTGACTCATGCATTGTCAATACAAGATCTTGACCAAAAATTAATGCACCTCTAGATGGAGATAAATGTTACTCCAGCACATCCCAAAGACTTTTAATGAGTTTAAGGTCTGGACTCAGAGGAGCCAATTCATGTGTGAGAATGATTCTTCATTCTCCTCCCAACCATTCTTTCACAATCTGAGCCGGATTAATCTTGGCTTTGTCATCCTGGAATAAGGCCATGATGTGTCTTCCTACATGGTTGTTTAAGAAATGAAAAGCTCACACACTCCAACAGTTAGGGTTAGAAGAACTGTTGCCAAACATATAACATGCTAAAAACATAATAATCACTGCAAAATATGATCCAATCATAGATTCTTAAGCATTTGCCTTTTTAAATCCAAACAGCGACTTTTTTTTTGGCCGGGTAGTGTGTGCGTGTGTGTGTGTGTGTTATATATATATATATATATATATATATATATATATATATATATATATATATATATATATATATATATATATATCAAATAACAGAAACTGACTTGCATGTGGACTCTATTGTTTTATAGATGAGTGCATCCAAACCCCAGGAAAGGTGTGTAATCCTGCTCAGATTCATGGAAGCACATGTACTAACACAAATAATACTTACAAAATAATTACTTGCACAAAGTCTACAACAAACTGGACAACTATGAGAATAACTGTATAAAATAATTGCAGACTTAAATGCATTCTCTCATAAATGCATGAAATCTAGAATATTAAATATCTAAATATATCAAATATGTTAAGCACTGTCTGTCTGTCTGTCTGTCTGTCTGTCTGTCTGTCTGTTCTGTCTGTCTGTCTGTCTGTCTGTCGCTGCAGTGGTGAGGTGCGAATCGAATCCTCTCTGAATAAGAACGAGGAGGAGTTTGTAGCCAGAAGGAGAAACTCTGTTCTACAAAGCCTGAAGAAGCTTCAGATAAAGTGCAGTAAGGTAAAGCTTCTCATTTTATACTTTATACACTCACCTAAAGGATTATTAGGAACACCTGTTCAATTTCTCATTAATGCAATTATCGAATCAACCAATCACATGGCAGTTGCTTCAATGCATTTAGGGGTGTGGTCCTGGTCAAGACAATCTCCCGAACTCCAAACTGAATGTCAAAATGGGAAAGAAAGGTGATTTAAGCAATTTTGAGCGTGGCATGGTTGTTGGTGCCAGACGGGCCGGTCTGAGTATTTCACAATCTGCTCAGTTACTGGGATTTTCACGCACAACCATTTCTAGGGTTTACAAAGAATGGTGTGAAAAGGGAAAAACATCCAGTGTGCGGCAGTCCTGTGGGCGAAAATGCCTTGTTGATGCTAGAGGTCAGAGGAGAATGGGCCGACTGATTCAAGCTGATAGAAGAGCAACTTTGACTGAAATAACCACTCGTTACAACCGAGGTATGCAGCAAAGCATTTGTGAAGCCACAACACGCACAACCTTGAGGCGGATGGGCTACAACAGCAGAAGACCCCACCGGGTACCACTCATCTCCACTACAAATAGGAAAAAGAGGCTACAATTTGCAAGAGCTCACCAAAATTGGACAGTTGAAGACTGGAAAAATGTTGCCTGGTCTGATGAGTCTCGATTTCTGTTGAGACATTCAGATGGTAGAGTCAGAATTTGGCGTAAACCGAATGAGAACATGGATCCATCATGCCTTGTTACCACTGTGCAGGCTGGTGGTGGTGGTGTAATGGTGTGGGGGATGTTTTCTTGGCACACTTTAGGCCCCTTAGTGCCAATTGGGCATCGCTTAAATGCCACAGCCTACCTGAGCATTGTTTCTGACCATTTCCATCCCTTTATGGCCACCATGTACCCATCCTCTGATGGCTACTTCCAGCAGGATAATGCACCATGTCACAAAGCTCGAATCATTTCAAATTGGTTTCTTGAACATGACAATGAGTTCACTGTACTAAAATGGCCCCCACAGTCACCAGATCTCAACCCAATAGAGCATCTTTGGGATGTGGTGGAACGGGAGCTTCGTGCCCTGGATCTGCATCCCACAAATCTCCATCAACTGCAAGATGCTATCCTATCAATATGGGCCAACATTTCAAAAGAATGCTTTCAGCACCTTGTTGAATCAATGCCACGTGAATTAAGGCAGTTCTGAAGGCGAAAGGGGGTCAAACACAGTATTAGTATGGTGTTCCTAATAATCCTTTAGGTGAGTGTATATCTGAGATGACCTGCGAATTGTGCATCAATTTCCCTTTCTTGAACTATGCCATTCAAGCATCCGTTGAAACAATGCTAAGTCAACACTAATGCAGCAATGTTAATAGCATTGATTAAAAGTACAATGTGACGTTAGTTCATTATCACTTTCACACACTCAAATAACTATGAAATGTAAGAAGTTTTCAACTACACTTCAATGCTATGTCAACAAATTCCTGACCATTACAAATGTTCTATTACTACAGTAAAACACTGTAAAGTATGATGAAAACCCCTTTTAAAAATGTTCAATTTACTTCGTTTTTTAAACAGTTATCACTTCTTTTCTTTCAACACAATCAATAAAAAGTAGTACAATTCATGTGATTGCAAAACCCTTTTTGTTATACTGGTTGAAACTCTCTTCACATCCTGATAGCAATAAATAATAGAAGTGTTGTAAATATAAAAAAAGTATATATATCTTCTCTGGAAGTCTCAGGACCAAAAAAATGTTTGTTCTACACTTTTCGCCACTCCCAGCAAACAAAAATATGTTCTAAAAAGTTGTGCTAACGTTCACATTAAGTTATGAAAAGGTTATTTCTAAATGTTCTTTGATTGTTTAAAATGTTCATTAAAAAAAATTGTTTCGAAACCATTTTATCTTGGCTATGCGAACGTTAAGGAAACTAATTTTGCAAACATTATTGAAATGTTACTTTTGAAAGTTCTCTGCAACATTTAAAAATGTTAGACGAACGTCCAATGAAACATTTTAGAGAAAAAAACACTCCACGAATGATGTATGAATATATATTTTTATGCTAACGTTTTGAGAGCATTATTAAAGATCAGATAACACTTAATGAACATTCTAATGTTACTTGAACTTTAAGAGAACCTTCCCAGAATGTTACCAAAGTTCTTTACATTAAAAATAAGGTGGATTTAATGCTTTGAGTGGTGTGTGTGTTTCAGAATGAGGTACCAAACATTGCATTACTGGGTTCTGGAGGAGGACAAAGAGCCATGGTGGGTTTGCTGGGATCCCTGGTTCAGCTCCAGAAAACCTCCAGTCTTCTGGACTGTGTGCTTTATCTGAGCGGAGTCTCTGGATCCACCTGGTACGAAACCTGAGAAACAACAAACACACACACACACAAACACACACACAAATGTCAAAAATGACAGCAGTATGTTGTTCCTCTGAAGGTGCATGGCCTCCTTATATCAGGAGCCAGACTGGTCCACCAAACTAGAGGCTGTGAAAGACAAGATCCTCCAGAGACTCAGCGGTCCTGGAGTCAGCTGGACAGATGCATTAGCCAAACTGAAGAAATATTACTATGGGAAAGACTTCTTCAGCATGACTGACATCTGGGCAGTGATGGTCGTCACGGCATATGTGAAAGAGGTTTGTAAATAGCCAATTCATGACCAGGGACAGATACAGAATTTTCTATTGTGTGGCATGAGGACTATGAGGAGTGACAAAACCAAAGTAAGCAATAATGCATAGTCCTTGTGAACTCATGGCCTGACATAGACAATTTGTGTCCACTCTCACGCAATTTGCTGAAGGCACCTTTATTCACGCCTGAAAGGCCAATGGCTTATGTCGACATGGGCAGGGTAAGCTCAAGTTTAGCTTCGCTAATGAAGGGCTAATTAACTTTTTTCAAACAAAAACGTCTAAACACAAGTTCAGACAGGACAACTTTGGCAAGTTACTTGAGTTCATTAAACACAATTTTTCTTTGGTGGTATCGTTCCTTATGGGGGTTCTTGCTCCATAATTAATGGCATACAGAGCTTAAAGGGGTCATATAATGGTACATGCACTTTTTCAAGTTGATTGTACTGAAATGTGTGTTGGCAGTGCCTGTACACAACCATTATATAATGATAAAAATCCATCCAGTGTTTTTGTTTCAATCTCCTTATATGTTTTCGCCTGCCTCAAATTGAGCCGTTCGTTTTTGTGACGTCACTAAATCGGACGCCCCTCCCACAATTGTTGATTGACAGCAGGGTTTCAACAGAGACCCGCCCTCGCTCGTGAACGAGCTGTCATCATAGTCCGTCATTGTTGATACGCTGGAGCAGAATGGCGTCTAAGCGATTGTGGTGTTCTGTTCTTGGGTGTAATAACCAACAGTCATTTTGATGTTCCTAAATCCGAACCGCTGAAGACGCAGTGGCTGAGTTTGTTTTCGAAGGGAATATTCCCCACGAGCAACGTCAATGCTTTCATGTTTGCGCGAATCATTTCTCACCAGACTGCTTTATAAACGAGGGTCAGTATAAAGCTGGTTCTCAATATAATTCATAATCCCACGTTTATAGTGAACAACGCGTTATGGTTATTGTGTTATAACAAACTGAGTACGTATACATCAGTAAACACATAGCGTTCGTATCTCACTAAGTTCTACCCTGCCAGTACACAAAGATAGATCAAGTGACATTATGTTAACCAACCATTCAGAAACGTCCTGTGTTTGAGCCTTAAAGGGTTAGTTCACCCAAAAATATAAACTCTGTCAGTAATTACTCACCCTCATGTTGTTCCAACCCCGTAAGACTTCGGAACACAAATCAAGATATTTCTGATTAAATCTGAGAGCTGGATCACTCCTCCATAGGCTTCTTAAGGGATCGAAACTGGCCGGCCCAAAAGTTATGAAAGACATCGTTAAAATAGTCCGAGTGACTACAGTGGCTCAACCTTAAGTTTATTAAGCGACGAGAATACTTTCTGTGCGCAAAAAACAAACAAAAATAACGACTTTATTCAACTAATCATTTCCTTCTCTGTTCGGCTGTGATATTTCGCGTAGTGAAACTACGCAAAACTTCTAGGTTGTACGTCACGCATCACACACATGACCAGCGTCGGCCAATAGTGAGCCTGCGTGTGACGTGCAACCTAGAATTTATATTAATAAATCTCAACTGGTTCCGAGTCAGCTGATTTTATATCATGGTTTAGAAAGCTATGCTGTCAGTACGGAGGTCCGAGGATTTTCACAGCTGTCTGACTCAGTTTCAGCTAGGCAGATGAGTGTGTTTTCGATAGTTATGAGACTGCTGGGGCTCATTACCTCATTGATAGCGCTCATTCGACTGGGTCTCATCTTTAGGCCGTGTGTCCACCAAAGCGTTGTTCCACGTGCCTGGCGTGGTATGTTTTCAATAGTTTTCAATGTTTGCGCTGAGTTTTTTAAACGCTATGAGCGTAACAAGGCGCTGAGTGTTTTTTTCACGCTGAAGTTCGGATAAAACACAGCGCTCATCACTGTCACTTTTTACCCAGCCATCCAATCACAGTGGAGGAGGGGCGGGGCTAATACCACACCGACCAACTGTCACAACATTCTTTCTGTACAACGACATCAACCAGCAGAGCAACCCGAACAAAATGGATGAAAATACATTTTCAGTATCCAACAAATTATCTGCGAAATCAGTTACAAGTAAAGTGTGCTGCGGATATTCTGTATCATAGCAACGAAACGTCTCAACGGAAAAAACGCTGCGCTGCCAAAACGCTCTCAAGCGCCCACAGCTAGGCGTTTTCAGTAGAGCGTCTGGCGTTTTCAGCTGGCTAAAAACGCTTTGGTGGACACACGGTCTTATGCATGCGTTCCAGAGATGGGCGCTAGGCACTGTGCTGAATGCCATGCGTCATTTAAACGGACAGGTGACGATAATGCAGTGTGTTCAAGCTCTGATTCCATGGGGAAACCCGGATCTGTTGACAGAAGAAATCCCCCTTGGTGATGACAGATGTGTCACTACATGGATGGGGAGCTCTGTAAGAGGGGAGTGGTCGACCGCGCTGAAAGAGCATCACATAAATTATTTGGAGTTGCAGGCAGTTCTTCTGGGACTGAAACACTTTAGGCTTGTAGGGCAAACGTGTTAGTCAGAATGGACAACTCGACAGTGATGTCATATATAAACAGACAAGGGGGTACTCGCTCTCTTCCTCTGTTGGAACTGGCATGTACGCTCTTGATATGGGGCAGCAAACATTTAGTGTCACTAGGGCAATGCACATCCCTGGCCATCTGAATGGTGGGGTAGATCTCCCAATCAATGTAGTAGCCACAATACAGAGCACTAGGGCGCTGACAACAAGGTTGAATTGACGCATATTTGAAGAATGGTATCAATGCCCGATTGCAGGAATATTGAGTTATCTGCAGGAATTGTTAGAGAATGCTCATTCCACGCTGAAAGTTTACTTGCTGGCCATTTCGGCCTGTCATGAGGGCATTAATGATGCTGTGCCATGTGCGCTTGCCATTCGGTTCCTTACTGTGCGTTCACACCGGACGCGAATAGCGCGTCAAATTCGCGTCTACCGCGTCTAGTTTGACGCTTGACCACTTTGTGTTAATTCGCGTGTCAATGGCGAAATTGACGCGCGTAACAACAAAAGTTTGAAGCGAAATTTACGCGCGTCAGAGGCGAAATCCGGAGGCGAAAGTTTCGAAACCCGTTGGCGGCCATCTTTTTAGATGTTTATCGAGCATTAGCATTAGCATTATTCGAGAGAGTCACCGCTCGTATATGCTCTGGAGAGCAGAAACAGCTGCGTAGGGGACATCGTCGCTGTACTCGGGTCCACCAGAACCTCCGGAGGGTTTCAAGAGTTTCACAATTTGCTCCAGGAGCTAGGTTTGGTGGACCTAATGGTGAGGATGCTGACGAGGACAGCGTAGGCCGTATAAGCCCTCGGCCTCGAGTGGTCTATGCCTGTCGAGCCCGCGCTCTACAGCCCGGCGCGAGGTTCACCCTCATCCGCATCCACCTAATCTGTCATTTATTTTTGTTTTGATAATAAACGAAGCCAGCCTCCAAAAGTGATTAATCTGTCCTGTAATTTTTTTCTCTCTCTCACACATCACTGTCCAGACACTAACTTATATGTTGGTTGTCTTTACATTATAATAATATTTCATATAATCTAGATATGGAATAAATAGCATTCAATACAAAATGAATATGTCTCATATATTGAAATCAAGTTTTATGTGATAAAATATTTGCTTTGTTGTGCATTAGAACCACAGTCATATATTACAAAATAATTTATTGAAGCATCCAGATACTTCACCACGTGACAGCAGCAAGCAGCTAGGCTCCTGATTGGTTAACGCGGCGCGAATTGACGCAGAAGTTCAGATTTTTCAACTCGGGCGGCAGACGCGAATTCGCGTCAAACGCGTGAATGCACAAATAGCACTAACTAAATCATTCGCGCGTAACGCGCTTAACGCGCCAGACGCTCAATTCGCGCGAACTTGACGCGCGAATGAGGCGTATTCGCGTCTACCGCGCCGCGCTCTACGCCTCATTCGCGCCGCAGGAATTTTTTGCGCGCGTAACGCGTCTTTGCATTGACTTAACATTGAAATCACTCGCGCCTGACGCGCTATTCGCGTCCGGTGTGAACGCACCATTAAAGGGGCGCTGAGTCTAAGGCCCGTACAAAATCAATGGTGCTGTCATGGGACCTGATTGTAGTTCTCGAGGCTATGTGTGAACCTCCAGTTGAGCCTTTAGAATAATTGGGTCTAAGGATGCTGTCTTATAAAACAGCCCTCCTGCTGGTGCTAGCATCAGCGAAACGTGTTGGTGATCTTCATCAGAGACTATTTATATAGAGACATGCCACTTCATCAATCCTTAAAACAAATATAGGGAAAACCCGTAACGCTGGCGATTGTATGCACATGCCCCGCCCCTCCCGCTGGAAAGCCAATCGTCTGCTTTTAACAGTCAAGCCGGGAAACATTTAAGCCTATCGTCTGGTTCCACTGACGCATGCGCACAGTTGAGGTTTGCGACAGCGCAAAATACGTTACTGTTTGAAAAGGCGGCAGATTTGATATGCAGTGTATGTGTGAGATGTGTAAATATCAGACATCTGAAGTCTCCCGCAGATTGATAACGGCTCCCTGATGCCCGCAAATTAGTTCAAATCTCCCGGAATCTAGAGCGAGCTAGCGAGAGCTCACACACACTGTGCTTCAAACTGTGTAGCGCGCGCACGACCGAGGGAGAGAACCCTTGCGCATGCGTAGTAAAAGTATAACCTGTGGGGAAAAAGGCGTTTTAAACCTTATTTTGGGGCAAAGTCATCAAACTTTTTCAGCGATTTTTATCATAATTTACTGCTGTTTCTATACATGCAGTTTTTATGTCCCGGTGACCAGTGAAACTGCAGTTCTGACTCTCTGCCCATTCACTTAGATAGGAGCCTGGTCTTGTTATTCCGAAATAGCTGCCCGGAGGCGTTGCCAAGATGGCGGCCGAGTGGCATGACTTGCCTAAAAGGACTTTGTCTTCATGCACTGTCAGTGCATCCCTCATGCATCCAATTTGGGTTAAGAGTGTATACGCCTAAAGTCATGTCGGGGGAGTATAGTGTGCTCTCGTGCAAGCTGCCTGCCTTGTCGAATCTCTCTATTGACTTGGAGGACATTGACAGGAGACTTCAGGAGACCCTGTGCGAATTTTACCGAGGTACATCGAGCAGACGCAGGCTGTGCGTTCTTCTAACCAGCTTTTTGTAAGAAATGTAGAGATTTCTACATGTTTTTTTCTATCCAAAGAGCACCTCAAACTTGTTCATTTGAGTCCAGGAAGCGCTTCTCTACAGACATTTGTTCAGCTTTTTGTAAGCTTTGCCAACCCAGTTTGTGGGAAATAGCTATATAAACAGCGTCTTTCACATTGGATCGTGGAGGTGATTTCTATTGCATACAAGAGGGGCATGGCAACATCATGGGCATTATTTAGAAGGGTGTTTGTGGAGGATATTTGTGTGGTGGCCAGTTGGGCATCACCGCACACGTTTGTTTGGTTTTATTGACTAGATGACACTTCGGCGACGGTAGCTCAGTCCAGGCTCACCGCAGGGGTTTTTTAACCAGGGGCCGTCACTACCTTGAAAAACATAGAGGTAAGTGGTGCTGGTCCCTTGCTTTAAGTTCAGCAGACTTTGCGGGGGTGAATATATGTCCCAAGGTGTGTGTTGTACCGAGTGAACCAAATGAATGGGAACGTTGAGTTATGCATACTGTTCCAAGAAGGAGGGAAATGAGGTACAACACTTCTGAGTTTGAAGCTCGGTGAAGAGCTGAAGAACAAGGAGGATGACGCATGCGACTGCATTTGTATGCTGGCCTATAATGCATGAATAAAGGTATCTTCAGCAAATGGCACGATATTTATAGAGATAAAACTGATGTGAAAAGTCAGAAAAAAAATCTCCAAAAATGACTTGTACTTCAAAGTCCGTGTTTTATTCTGAACATTTCTCATGAGGTCAAACAGTCATATTTCTTTATCTCAAACATGAATGCAATGGCGATGAAATTAACTTTACTTCTTTATAAAGTCTCTCACTGCACTGACTGCAGAAATGTAAAGATACTCGAGGCTCCATTTGTTCTGCGAATCTTTATAAAGAGATATTTATTGCTGAGAAAATTAAGCTTTATTACTTGAACTTGTTATAGATCGATGAACACACACTCACAGAGCAGTGGAGCCAGCAGAGTAAAGACCCGCTGCCCATCTACACAGTGATCGACAAGCAAGGCAAACAGCTAAATGAAGGAGGTCTGTGTTTGTCTAAAAGAAAGACAGAGAGTTAATGTGTTTGTGTCAGCTGTTATATGGACGTGTTTCTGTCTGCAGACCCCTGGTTCGAGATCACTCCACATGAAGCAGGTTATTCTCTCACTGGAGCGTTTGTGGACGCCTCAAACTTTGGCAGTCAGTTTCACAAAGGCTCTAAGAAAAATAAACAGGATGAATTTGACATGCTGTACCTTCAAGGTAACAAACTCTGTTAAAGTCAAGCCAAGTCACCTTCATTTACCAGCTAAAGTTAGTTTTGATTGATTCACTTCCGTTGCAAAGATCATTAGATATTCACTTAGGGGCCGCTAACACGACACCCCTTAAGAAAACCCTTAATCGCTCCGGCCCGCTTAATGGGGACTTTAATATTTCTGATATCAGTCTATATTTTAGATTGTACATCATTGACTTAAATCTCAATCTGTGTGATCAGGCCTGCATTATAAGCGTATTGTGTTAAAATATGTGGGATTTATGTTATGTATTAGGGTCAGTGTTGGGGGTAACTCATTACAAGTAACTTGAGTTACATAATCAGATTACTTTTTTAAGTAACCAGTAAAGTAACGCATTACTTTTAAAATTTACTACAAAATATCTGAGTTACTTTTTCTAATAAGTAGCGCAAGTTACTTTGTTTTCCCCTTTATTGACTGACAGGTCTTCTGTCCTAATGTTAAGACAAATCGAAGTGCAGAGGCGTTGTGTGTAAACATGATGGTTATTATAGTTCTAGATTAAATGTAAGCGTGGATTTACTCATCTCACTTGCACAAAAAAAGATTCAATATTCCTCAAAATGAATAAAATCAGTGAAATGCAGAATCAGAACACTATGCAAACCTCCAATACCTAAATATGTTAAATAAAACATACATTTTTTTATGCATTTAATCTTTATTGACCAAAGTACTTGCTTCTGACCTCCGATTTTTCAGTTAAACCATAAGCAAAAATGACTATAGATTTTTTTTATATGTTTTTATTGGTAAAGTAAGTGTTAAATTTGTTTCTCCTGCATCCTCTTCTTCTGTTACCCAGAACAGCAGCAGCTGAAAGGTTTGTTTGAGCGGCGCCCTCTACTGAACACTACTGTACTCTACTGTACAGGAGTAAATCTGCATTTCCTTCAGTCTGAGGCTTATTATTTCACTTTTGGTGTGAAAGGGTCTTTACATTTGCCCAAAAATATGTCTTTTTTGGTATAAAAAAACAAGCCCAGCCCAGGTGGAAAAAAAGTAACGCAAAAGTAACGTAACACATTACTTTTCTAAAAAAGTAACTAAGTAGCGCAATAAGTTACTTTTTAAGGGAGTAACGCAATATTGTAACGCATTACTTTTCAAAGTAACTTTCCCCAACACTGGTTAGGGTGTTATAGTACCTGTGTCCACTGTTTTACTGTAAAATTCATGTTTGCTGATGTTGTGTGTTTTTCTGCAGCTCTGTGTACCAGCACTTTAGCTGATGAAGACGATATTAAGAAACAAATCTTGCAAAAGATAAAAGGTGCAGCTGCAATTGTTCTGAGGACTGAATTCAGCGTAAATTGAAATGATTAAAATCATTACCATCCATTTGATTTTTGTTTTTGTTTTTCAGATTTCTTTCAACAAAAGGAAAAAATACTTGAGGAAATGAGGAAACGTAAAGCATTTCTTAGGTTTTATTATTTACTTAAATATTTAACAGCCCTGATTTTATGTTTTTAAAGAAATCTCTTCTGCTCACCAAGGCTGCTTTTATTTGAAGGATCGTGTGACACTGAAGACTGGATTAATGATGCTGAATGTAATTATATATTTACGTATAGAACAGGACAAGAGGAGACAGGAAGGATTGAGAAGAGAGAAGGGAACAGGATCGGGAAAAGACTTTGCGGCGGGACTCAACCTCGGGCCTCCAGAAGCGCTACTGCACAATATATCAGAGCGGAGTCAACCAGATCCAAACTCTCCAGCTACAGACCAATGTTACCAGGAGCTCATGAAAATCGTGGACATGAATCTCTCCGTTTCGACTGCTCTTGATGAATCCATCAGAACAACACTGACCGGTAACAAACCATTGAATGGTCTGTATGTCCATCACAGCCTTGTGTTCAAGTCTTAATTAAAGGGGTAGTATAATGCCATTTTCACAAGATGTAAAATAAATTCTGATGTCCCCAGAGTGTGTATGTGAAATTTAAGCCCAAAATACCCCACAGATATTTTTATATAGCGTTTTAAAATTGTAATTTTTTGACGGTGAACAAAAACGCACCATTTTTGTGTCTGTCCCTTTAAATGCAAATGAGCTGCAGCTCCCGGCACAGAGGGCGGAGCTTCAACAGCTTGTGTGTAGTAGTGGGAAGCTCGGATCATTTTACTGACTCGGATCTTTGAGTCTCGTTCAGCAAAATGAACGAATCTTTTTTCGAGTCATTTCGTTCATTTCAGCATAATATAATTAAAATGGCATGTTAAATATCCCAACACATCTAGAACTTACGAAAATGTTGATTACATTTGTAAAAAGAATAAAAATAAATTATAGGGTAATGCAGCCAAAGCCAAATTATAAGAAACCGAAATTTTTATGAATTGATTAGTTGTAGGGGTTTTAAGTTCAGGCTATTGCAGTCTGATTCTGTTAGTTCACCTCACCTCCTCATCCGAGACGTTCTTTCCTTTGCAACTTCATATTTATCAGGTTTGTTCTCCTCCTCTTGTGTCTCGAGACGTTAGTTGTCGACTCGTCAGTGTCTGACTCTGATCTGTCTGCTGGGCCGTGCCGTGTGTGATACAGCAGGGCCGGAAAGAGTAATGATTAGTTCATCTTTCGAGTCTCGAGTTCGGGTTCGGCCGGGTCCGAGTCTTTCGTTCTTCCTGTCAGTCCCATAGAGGCTATGCTGTCAGTACCGGAAAGAGTAATGATTAGTTCATTTTCTTCGAGTCTTCGGGTTTGAGTCCTTCGTTCTTTTGTCACGTGACCGCTGGTATCTCGCATCAAATACAATATTAGATTCGTATTATTGACTGCGTCTGAATGTATATTGTTTTATATTTAGGAATTAAAATACAAAATATGTGAAATAAACATTATCTGAAAAATAAAAGTTCCATCTTATTATTGTCCCTGTCCGTTTCTTTAAATGTTTCTTGTGCATCTGTGGTGTGTTTTATTATATATTATACATTAATTAACTACTATTATATTATACATTAACTACGTGATTGTTTGTAAAAAGGTTGTGAATTGTGACAAGTCACGTGACAAAAGAACGAAGGACTCAAACCCGAAGACTCAGAAGATGAACTAATCATTACTCTTTCCGGTACTGACAGCATAGCCTCTATGGGACTGACAGGAAGAACGAAAGACTCGGACCCGTCCCGAACCCGAACTCGAGAGAGATGAACTAATCATTTCCAGTACAGATTCAGAAACCATATGTTGCGCAATGCGCATGCGCGATCAACACAAAATGAACGAATCACTCTCTGAGACAACTCGGTAGTCCCGAGTCATATTAAAGATTCGTTCAAAATGAACGAATCGTTCATGAACGACACATCACTACTTGTGTGTGTGTGTGTGTGTGTGTGTGTCAGCAGCTCAGATTAACTCACAAACGCATGAACATTTCAAAAACATTTAGCCTTTTATGTTCAAACCGGAGTCAGACAAAGGTGGAGAGACTCAAGAAGAAGTGACAACATTTCTGAATGGTTAGTTGATGGATTTATGTAGCTTATGTGTAGTTATCTCTAGTCATTGATTAGCATATTCTGTCTGTTCTGGGGGCGGGGTTTATGTAAATTTTAGGGTTAGTGATGTCACTAACCCGGGAGGAATGTTGTGTAGTCCCATCAGCTGTTTGTTGTAGTCCTTAAAAAACTATTTAAAAAAAAAGAAAATATCTCCCTTTGCTTTGAACTTTGCAGATGTTGTTTATGCTCAAACAGCAACATTACACACTAACTAAAGTTAGAATCAAAGTGAAATCATAATCAATCACCCCTTTAAATACACTTTTATAAGTCATGATAGTGAGAACCTGCTGTCAAGGCCCGTTCACACCAATGACCATAACTATAACGATAATGATATAAGCTAGTTCTAAAAGAAAATAAAAATATAAAAGAATAGGGTAACACTTTACAATAAGGTTCATTAGATGATATTAGTTAATGTATTAACTAACATGAACTAACAATGAGCAAAACATTTGTTACAGTATTTATTCATCTTTGTTAATGTTAGTTAATAAAAATACAGCTGTTCATTGTCTGTTCATGTTAGTTCACAGTGCATTAACTAATGTTAACAAATACAACCTTTGATTATAATAATGTATTAGTAAATGTTGAAATTAATATTAACTTAGATTAATAAATGCTGAAGAAGTATTGTTCATTCTTAGTTCATGTTAACTAGGTTATCAAGAATAGCAGAGTCCACACCACAACTATACCGATAAGTAACGGCGCAGAATCACTTTTGAACTATTTTTTTCCAGCTGATGATTAATAAAAAGATTGAAAGACCCGCTGAAAGACATTCTGCTTTAAAGAGCTCAAGCGTTTAAACAGCAGATGACAAAACTGCAGCACGCTTGAAGATTAGTTCACACAAAAATAAAAAATTCTGTCATTAATTACTCTCCCTCATGTCGTTCCAAACCTGTAAGAATTTCGTTCATCTTCAGAACACAAATAAAGATCTTTTTGATGAAATCTGAGAGGTTTCTGTCCTTCCATTGACAGCTACGCAACATTAAAGGGATAGTTCACTTTGAAATTAATTATTGGTATGTTTTAGCTTACCTCAAGGGCATCCAAGATGTAGGTGTCTTTGTTTCCGCAGTAGTTTCAATTTTGATATTTTTAGGTCAAACCGTTCTTGTCTGTCAGTCATATAATGCAGGTCTATGGTCACCACCTCAAAGAGCATGCACAGAGAAGTCCAGATTAAACATGATTTAATGACTCGTAAATGTAAGTACACATTGATGGCCTAAGACACGAAACGAGCGGTTTGTGTGAGAAAACGAACAGTATTTATATCGTTTTTACCTCTTGTAACGCACAGACCGCCGCGCCCGCGCCCTCAGATCACTTGGACGGGGCTGTGTTTACAAGAGGTAAAAATGATATAAATACTGTTGGTTTTCTCACACAAACCGCTCGTTTCGTGTCTTAGGCCATCAATGTGTACTTACATTTACGAGTCATTAAATCATGTGTAATCTGGACTTCTCTGTGCATGCTCTTTGAGGTGGTGACCATAGACCTGCATTATATGACTGACAGACAAGAACGGTTTGACCTAAAAATATCAAAATTGAAACAAAGACACCTACATCTTGGATGCCTTTGAGGTAAGCTAAAACATATCAAAAATGTATTTCAAATTGAACTATCCCTTTAATAGGCTACACTTTCAAGCCCTAGAAAGGTAGTAAAGACATCATTAAAGTAATACATGTGACTCCAGTGGTTTAACCTCAATATTATGGAAGCTTTATTTGCGCAAAAACCCCCACAATTTAGCACTTTATTTTCATAATATTAATCTCCAACGTGCATTCACACAACAACGTCTGCTGTCAGGTCAACACAACATGCGTTTCTGAGGCTTAAACGTGTCAGTTGTGTAGCTGTCAATGGATGGTCAGAATTTTTTTGTCATGTTTTCTGAAGATGAACGAAAGTCTTACGGGTTTGGAACGACATAAGCTTGAGTAATTGAAGAGTTTTCATTTTTTGGTGAAGTACCAGTTTAATAAACAGAATGATATTATGCGTTGGTGTCGACAATGTGAACGCTTAAATAGTTACCGCCTTTATTGACAGATTTGAGAAGAAAACTTTTTTTTATATGAAATACTGTATAAAATGCAAAAGGCCATATTTCACATATCTGCATTTCAAATTTGTTATTTGTAAGTCGCTTTGGATAAAAGCATCTGTTAATGATTCAATGTAGTTTTAAAATTGAATTTTTGTATTACAGACTATTTTTGCTTTCTCTGGCAAAAATAAATAAATAATTGGCAAACAATTATGAAAATCAAACCATGAAACAGAAATAAAAAACACTTTTGGCTAAAAAGTATTTCATTATAAATAAATTCTGATTGTAAATACACAAACTACAGTAAGAAGAACTCACTAACATACGTGTCACGTCTTTTTACAGACCTCTCTGGAGGAAAACTGAAAACTGTTGATAAAAAAGCAGTGAAGCGTCACACCATGGATATATGCAACAGTTTGAGTGAACAGATTAATGTCTGGCCATTTGGTAGGTTAAACTGTTTCTAATATCATCCCTGCATTCTCCACACTAGATGCTGATCTACACTTTAAGATTTATGTGTTTGAATTTCATATAAAATTTCCATCCATTGTTTTAACATAAACTCAGGGGCGTCATGCAAGCCAAAATTCTGGGGGGGCACAATCTGAGACGTTGCAATTGTTTTCTGACGGGTGATATGGATCATGTTAGGAGGGGTCAGGGGGTTTCTCCCCCTGAATTTTTTTTAATTCTGGCTGCGAAACATACTATTTCAATGCAGTTTGGGAGGGACAGAAATACCTTAACGGAGCTAGCAGCAACCCTCCTCTATCTGAGGACTAAGTTAAAGTATATGTGTATATTATATGTGCATTATAAGATGTTTTGAAGGCCAAAACAACTCCTAAAGTTGAGCTTTGACTGATAGGCTTTTCATTTTTGTCTGTCAGTGAAGAAAGTAAACATAGGGTCAACTGATAGGTTGATTTATGAATCATTTTCTCAGACGAATTTATTTACTGAAAGCTACTAGGAAAGCTAGGTAGCCTAACTAAGTTTATTAAATTCATTCACAGTACACATTCATTATTGATCTTATGCCTAATACAGGGCCGTAGACAGGGCTTTATAATCACAGAGGTCCTAAATTTGAGGTGGGTAGGGGGTTCAAATGTTTTATTTCTCTGATATGTGCATTTCAAGACGTTTGAAGGCCAAAAAAAGGATAAGAAATAGCTTTAAAACCATGTCAGTGGGCAGATTATTTGTCAATACCTGCTCTCACTTCTTATCCATCACTCTTTCTTTTTCTCTCAGTCTCCTGATCTTGCCTTCCCCTCCTAAAGCTGAGCTTTTTTAATTTACTTAAGGCTACAAATTGTACTATATTAATTCTCAATATGTACACATTCATTATTAATCTTGTGCCTAACAATGAAAACGTCTTTTCCCCTCACAATGACAGTAAACTATTAGCCTACATTACGAGTCACGTTATATAGGCCTATTTTCAGTTCAAAATGGTGAAATTAGACAAAAGTATATTCGTGTGCCTGATTATTTTTGTCATTCGTTTAACATTTATGAACTAAAAAAACTGTCAAATATGAAATGTTTAGTTTAGCTACTTACATCTCGCACTTGACTGTACACTGAAGCGTCGAGTCTCACTGCTAAAATTCGCGCTCAGCTTCTGTGAACATAAAGCCCGCCTACTTTGATTTGATTCGTCATCTCAAATATTCTGACATTGACGAGCAGTGGCAGACCAATGAGGCTCAGATGAACACGCACGCACACACACACACACACACACGCACCCTGTCCTCTGTTTCTGACGTGCGCTCTGCTCGGCACCGCTGCGGATTGAAGATGAACAACGCGCTGAATCTGATTTTAACAAGACTGAAGAAATAAAAAATTATCAGGGAGGAAAAATCTGAGGGGGCACGTGCCACTTTGAATGGGCATGACGCCACTGCATAAACTATTAAACGTAATGTGATGCATGTGTCAGTCATACATAGATAAAAACAGGTCAGATTTCTGCACTAAAAAAAAGTCATGGCCTAGTTTATTATTAATGATGTTTTGATTTAAATCACCATATAAATCATATTTTAATTAATATTAATCATATTTTCAAAAGGACCAGCATAAATCTGTTCATTGTAGAAAATATATGGACATATATATTCGATATTATATCGAGTATATTCAATTGGTTCAAATGTATGAGATTTATCAATATATAAACATGATTATTGTGAATGAAAAAAAACACGTAAACAGGCTATTATAGAAATCTAAACCGTTTCAATTATGTATGACTGAAAAATATGCACACATTAAGTTTACTAGTTTGTGTAAAAACTGTGTAATTCAAATGGATAGAAATTTGATAGCCTATGTAATTTAAATACATTTAGGCCTTTTTTATTTTGTTGTTTAGTTAGTTAGTTCGTTTCCACTGTTGTCTGATAGCAATCGTAACGTTAGCATTGCCACACTTTTGTAACACTATTTTAAAACTATTAATTTCAACAAGTCAAAACAACAGCTACATAAATACTTACTCATAATACATATTTCTCAGATATCCGCCTTTCTTTCATTATTGGGGAGTTCAGTTTTGATGTCGTTAGTGACATTCGCGGAATTTCCCATCAGATTCATCCGCGCAGGAGCCGAAGCACAACTCACGAAAACGGTCAAAACAAAGTTCCTCCGCAAGTAACTTGTAGTTGTATGCTTGTCTACGGCTTCAACCGCTAGACAGCGTTTAGTTTAAATCTAGTTTAGTTTTTTCACAAAAACATGTATAAGTATATTTTAAAGAAAATCTGGTTCCTACATTATTTTTCTATACATTGACTCGTTGGCTCCTCTAACCTGCAATATGCCCTATTTACTGAGCCTAAGAACCGAAGAACTTCAGAAAATTCATTTTGTTGAGTGTATTTGTTTTACAGATGCATGGATAAGCATTATTAAATGTATGGATCAGTGGATCTGGGGCAGGAATTATAACTTCCTCCACAAGATGGCAGGTAGGCCTAGAAGTAAGAACACACCTGCTAACTGGAAATTCCCTGTGATTAATATAATAATGCTGAGATCCCTTCAGATGAAGCAGTGCACTCCACTCTTTCGGAAAGTGAGACGAGAGACTTTGAAGACGCCGGGATATTGCTCAACGCACCCTACTTCTCAGTGCTGAGAAAAGAGAGAAACATCGACCTCATCATTTCCCTGGATTTCAGTGAGAGTGATCCTTTCATGGTATTTTATGTGTTTTTAATTCTCTACAGCTTCACTCAGAAGTTTAATAATCTGGAAAATGTTCGTAATTTAAAAATAAAAGCAAATTTTGTGATGCTTTCCCACTGCAGACAGTGAAGGACACTGCCAAGACATGCAGGGAACAAAACATCCCTTTCCCTGAGGTCAACTTTGCCAGTGAGGACTCACAGAAACCGAAGGATTTCTATGTGTTCAAAGGCCAAAACACTCCAACCGTGATTCACATCCCTCTCTTTAATGTGGTCAACTGTGGAGGCAAGTTAAAATCTTACAATGATCCTAAATAAAATGTAATATATCAACTGTGTTCTGATTTTAAATGTTATTGTTCCATCAGATAAAATTGAGGACTGGAGAAAAAAATATCGCACGTTTCAAGGTCCTTACAGCGCTGATATGATCACTGATCTAATGGAGGTCGCTGGGAAAAACATCTCAAACAATAAAGCAAAAGTGCTGAAAGAGATTCGTACGATCATTGGGCAAAAAAGATCCAGACACTAATGTGAATATATTTAACAAGACTAAAATCTGAATAAAGATTAAATTGATCTGCATATCAGTCATTTTACAACAAATAGTGTTAAATTTATTTTTTTGTCTGAATGACATTTATTTCTGTTGAATATGTTCAAAATGTTTTACTGTTTGAGACCAGTTTAATAAAATTTGATTAGCAAACCTGGTTATTGTGCTTTTAAATCAGTGCTGCCAGTACACAAGTCTCATTCATTTCTTTTATGCACGACTGACAAATTAGGTTCATTAGTCAAAACTAATCCAAATGGATACATTTTATATGAAATTAGAATACACATATTAAACACTAATAGGCCCAAATACGTTTATCTATTTGAGGAAATTGTTTAGAAACCGCAGAAAGCAGTAAAGGATCAAGCATAGAAGCGTTTCTGCCTTACATTGGTCATGAATTATATTTACATTAAAAATCCTTGTGTAAATGGTGTATATATATCATTAGCATCCAGGGATTGTTCCATTCAGAACTTCTTTATGAACCAAGTAAAACAGATTCAGAAATTTTGGCACTATGAATTACCGTATTTTCCGCACTATAAGGCGCACTTAAAAGCCTTTAATTTTCTCAAAAAACGTCAGTGCGCCTTATCATGCGGAGCGCCTTATATATGGATGGTGAACACACGTTCACCAAGACGGGGAGACAGCGCCGGCCGACTTACGCCACTATCTGGCAATTTCACGAAGGCAGGAATAATCTCTTTATTCAGCCAGCTTTTTTTTTTTTTTTTTTTTTTTTTTTTTTTTGCAAATACACTTTTTTTTTTTTTTTTTTTTTTTTTTTCTTATCACAGAAAACAATAAAGACGTCTAACAAAGAAGAAAAATATGACATCCCCAAAATGTATAATATAAATCTTATTGTATTATAAGCAAGAGTCACACCTCCAGCAAATCATCTGAAAAGACATTTCAATACTGTTCACATGACAAGGGAGAACAGACTAGATTGAAAGAACTCAAACCAATAAAAATAAACTAAAACAAAATAATAACAAAAACAAACCAAAAAGAGGGACTCAGCTCATCTGAAGTGTTATTAAACGATTATACATTTTTTTGGCCTGGGCATTCTCAACCTTTATAAGACAGTTTTGAAACAGCAAAAGTTCATTTTTAAGTGCAGACCATGTGGGGGAGGACTTAGCAAATCGACATTTATGTATATAATATTTTGTAGCTATAATTAGATTATTGACCACAAATTCATCATTTTTATTTTGTAGGATTACACCCATCTGAATGTTTTGATATGAAAAGAAATCTATGTTTATAGATCTGGAGGACAACAGGCTGTGAAGAGATTTCCATAAATTCTGAGCCAATTGACATTCATAAAACAGGTGTTCAGTTGTTTCAACATTAATTTTGCAAATATGACAATTGTCTACCTCGAACTTGAATCTTTTCTTTACAAACTCATTAGAGGGATATATATATTATTTATTGTTTTAAAATGTACTTCCTTAAATTTAGGAGGAATTGGATATCTTAGGAATTTTGTTCTAATTGAAGATATCTCATATTTGTTATAACCAAGAAAGAAAAGAGTGCTCCTTGTTCTACCTGGGTACAAAAAGTTAACAAGAGTTTGCTTAAAGGGTTAGTTCGCCCATTTAAGACATGAAGTTGTATGCAATCCTTACCAGCACTATAGTGCATACACACTGACCCACTCTGTTGTCACCTCCCTGGTCAGAGTTCTGGCCGCTGGAAGTTTTTCAATAAAGTACTCCCGGTTATTTTCCGGGGCCACAAAACTGTGCGTTTTTACGTGAAAAAATGATTTGCGTTTCAAAGCTTGATTAATTTACCACACAAAAAACACGCCGGTCAAAATTCATACCTCAGTTTTAATCGGCACTATTTTCTATCCATTTCTATCAATCCGCGCTGCTGTCAACATCAACCGTGCGCACGTTCCGATCAGCTGTTCCATAATGTTTACACAATCGATTGACAACGACGTAAAAAGTATTAAATTAACAATGGTGCGAACTTGTAAATTCCCAGGCTGTGACCAAGGATGTGCCAGTGTAACAGGTACATAAAGTGCACTGTTAAATGTATGTATAGTTTATAAGAATTCACACAAAATTGTTCGTTTACATGTCCTGATATGAGTGCCTAAGTGGAATGAGTACCTTCCCCTTTAATTAATGTGATGTCATGAGTCAATATAATTTCCTGTTCTGTCCCCTCCTCTTCCTCTTTGCATTGATGATTGCAGTGAGAGGTGAGGTTATTTTGGGCTCCCCATAATCATCTTTAATCCTAATTTTAATTGTTGCTTTTATGTCTATATTTTCACTCTAATTCATGTGTATAATATTATTTTACCTATCTGTGTGGCGATTTTTGTAATTTCATCACGATTAAGCGATATTTTTGCTTATGGGCCTAAATGTGAAATGAGAGCACACGTGATAAGTGTACATCACATTTGTTTTATAGTGTTAACGAGGGCGACTCTCACTAAGAGGCTGATTACATTTTGTTTGTATATCAGGTACGTTTTCTGTTATATGCATTTTATTGTGATTTATTTCTCTTTGCATTGATGATTGCAGTGAGAGTGTTAACGAGGGCGACTCTCACTAAGAGGCTGATTACATTTTGTTTGTATATCAGGCATTAAAGATTTGTGAAGCTGCCGAATGCTGTCCTGTTATTAAGTCAACAAAAACACAACGCAGACAACAGACCAGTTACACTTGGTGCCGTGACCCGGATCATCAGATCAGCGCTTCGCCGATCGCCGTGGTTGCGTGACGGCTCGCCTGCTTCGCCGATCTTCTTCCTCGCCCATCTTCTTCCTCATCGCCATCGCTCGTGGCGGCTCCTGCTCGCGCATAAGGAGGGCGCGTGTGTGAGATGAACAGTGTGTGACATCGCGGAACGAACTGTTGTGTCTTAAAGGAACGGTAAACGGTTATTGACTTTCTGATATACTTTTTTTTCTTTCTCCGGAGCTGGTCGTTGGTGCATATTGAACGACAGAGACTGTGAAAAGCACCGCGGGACGCTTCAGTTTTCTTCATGCATCGTATCCTTTATGTACAGTATATAATCAATGACTGTTGATGAGGCATTTTAAACAAGAAAAAGTACATAATTAATTTTGAGAAAGTATATATTTTATTTTTATTGAGAATTTTGGTGTTGAACTGTTTTGAGACATTTGATTTAATATATTTCCCTGCATATTTGAACTTTTCAACAGTTAAGGTCACACTGTTTGTGGCATATAATTTGCTGTAATTTTTTTACGTTTTATCTGTTTCATTTCACAAATTGAGACATGTTTGAGGATTCTAGCAAAGACGATTTCAGCCCCGTGAAACAATCTAATGTCACTTTTCCACTGGGCAGGGGTCGTGGGTCTGAAATGTATCGAAATGAGGGGGTGTCTGAATTTACACGTTGTTATGGGAGAGGGAGAGCGTTAGCTAATTTAGGACTTGACCATGTGCACACCGCTGATTCAGCGATTGGTTTTTCTGTAGGTCCAGCAGCTAGCTCCACCCCAATCATACGCCCTGATATTGAACGTGTTGTTACTCCTGAGTCGTTAGGGGGTATCATTTCAGATCTTGCTCAGAAAATAGGAGAGAGTATTTCAGCCAGCCTTAACCTTGCGCGCCAGCCCAGCCCAGTACAGTCTAACCCACCGTGCCAGTCTCAGCACTCAAGTGACGACGTTGATAAATCTAGCCTGAAGGTGATAGTACAGCAAGATGCACCACCTCCACCATTCTTCAGGGGAGATAAGAGTGATTCATTTACTGTGCACGAGTGGGAAGATATGATGTACAGTTATTTGAACAGGATGAAATGCCGAACGCAAACTGATGTCTCTGATCTCATCCTGAGCAGATTGGCTGGCAAAGCGAGAGATGTGGTTAAAGTGTCCCTGCGAAGCCGCCCTGAACTGAGTGCCAGTGAACTCCCAAGTGCAGTGTTTGACATACTGAAACGCAACTTCAGTGAGTTGTCTTACTCTAACATGCCTATGGCTGACTTCTATAACACTGTCCCTAGAGCAGATGAAAGTCCCATGGATTACTGGATACGGCTTAACAAGTCCATAGATGTTGCTAATGAGTGCTTGCGCAGACATAATAAGAGTGTTGAGGATCCCGCTGCTGAAGCAGTCATGATGTTTATTTCTCATTGCCCGGACCCGAGTCTTTCTATGTCTTTTCAGTTTAAGCCAGCTGAGAAGTGGAGCGCCGCTGAGGTCCAGGAGCGCTTGGATAGTCATCAGAGGGATCTAAAGAGAGTCTCTTTGAGGAAGCAGCACACAATGTCCTTGTCAGCAAGCAACCAGTGCACTGTTATGGCAGGCCCCAATAATGTGCCTAGTTCTCTTCCACAGCCTGTTTCCATGCCCAGTTCTCCTCAGCAGCCAGTTTCCATGCCAGCCCAGTCACTGACTCCTGTAAGTCCTCTTAATCCGTATGCTGTTCCTTTCTCTCCAGACACCAGCCTTCAGCACATTGTTGGCATGATGGATAGAGTCCTGTCGTTGTGCACTGCCTCTTTAACTTCACCCAGTCAGGTTCACCCAGGCAAAACTCCAGGTTTCAAAACCAACTTTAGCACTGCATGTAGGGTCTGTAGATCCAAGGAACACACAACGTATGAACATTGTAGACGTCAAAGGCTATGCCGTAACTGTTTCAGTCCTGGCCACTTTAAGAGTGACTGTCCTAAAGCAGCATGCCCTACATCTCCCTCAGATACTGCTCAGTTAAACTGAAGAGCCCATGCGATGAGAGGGGTAGCATGGGCAATTTAAGTAAAACCTCCCTCACAGAAGATGTACAAAATGTTTTTGCTAACAGCTGCAAACTATTGCCAGAAGACAAAACCGTGTTATATGTGGGGTCTCAGAGAGTTGATGGGGCAAGTGAGTTGTTTTATGCTCCTGTGACAGTCTGCGACCGTTGCACATTAAAGGG